TTGGAGCAGCGGTGTCTAGTGAAAGATGCCCCTGCCAATGGCAGGGGGGTTGGAACTAGGTGATCTTTAAGGTCCCTTCCAACCCAAAACATTCTATGAGTCTATTTCAAAGTTTTCAAATGTTGGCACTCAAGGTGAAACATTTAGACACTAGTGCACAGATGCACTCAGGTCTTATTTCACTGTTTACTTTGCCTTCATCAAAGAAAGAACTAATTCTTTATTTTATGATCATTTGAAAGATGTTTTAGCTTTACCTGCAGAAAAAAATTGAGGAGAGAAAGAATTCTTATTTTGAAAAATAATTTAATTGAAGCTGCCACGTCACTTTTCCTGGATTCTACAAGCTACTGCTACCTACTACATTCAATAAATCAAACATAAAGAAAAGTGCAGTCTTTTCCTTTAAATCCAGATAATGCTGTGGAAGAGTAAGAGTAAGAGTGATACAGAAAATATCTTACATTAGAAAAACAAAAGGAAAAGGGCTTTGAGTATGTCATGCCTGAAACTACCTCTTAGACATAGTATTAACAAGTTAAACATTTACACTAGATGGCAATGCAAACAAAATAAAAAGGAGTGTTTCTAGTGATGAAATGAAGTAAATAATCTTTCAGTCAGTCATCTGTCATATTAGCTGTAGAGGCACACATACATAAAAGATATATTTTACTATGAAGATTTTAATCTTGTTACATAATTGTTACAAGAAACAATTATGCATACTAATCAGAAATACCAGGGATATCTCAATGATAAAACATTCTGTCCAATAATTTTATTCAGTTTAATTTGTGATATTTTAGAGAAGCAGATCTTTTCTTTATAGTCTTTTAGCTGTGGATTCTGTAAACACCCTAGCATAATTAAAAGTATTAGAAAGAAAAAAAGCTTGGGTCATTTTTAATATTAGGCTCCTAATACCTGCTCTGAGCACTCTTCACATCATTGTACTAATGGCAATCAAACATTAGTGCTCTGGAAAATGGATGGAATAGTTTGGGTTGGAAGGGACCATTAAAGTTCATCTAGTCCAAGCCCCTGCAGTAAGCAGGGACATCTTTAGCCAGATCAGGTTGCTCAGAGCCCCGTCCAACCTGGCCTTGAGTGTTCCCAGGGATGGGGCATCCACCACCTCTCTGGACAACCTGTTCCAGTGTCTCATAACCCTAAAGAAATGCCAGAGGAAAGGATTCATGTAGAATTTTAATGATTGTTTTGTAAATGGGTGTAAATTTTGTAAATTAGCCTTCACTTCCTGAAACGATGGGAGTGAGTCACAGGCAAGGGAGTGAGGGGAGCTGCCTTGCTGCCAAGATGCCCCAGGAGCATGGGGAGCACCCGCAGCACTGTGTCCCTCCTCAAGCATTTGTCACTATTACACCCAAAAGGTCATCAGGCAGCTGCAAGGGCAACACGTACTAGTAGAAAATGCTCATTGATTCCCCTGTTGCCCCTAAAGTACCTGAGGGGGAGGAAGGTGAGGAGGAAGGTGCTTCTCTCTTGCCCTAAAAATTATCGTGATTGTAGCAGTGGCAAGCTGGGCCTGAAAGACAAAACATCAACAGCAGTGTAACCCACTCCAATAATGGTGATTTGATTCACTTGGGACAGCAAGAGGCTTGTGATTCTTTCGCAAAAGGTCAGTGGCTTCTGGCAGCAGCCTGTGTGGAAATGCCAGTGGTAGAGAAAGGGTGGCAACAACCAGAGCATTGTCTGCCCCCTTCAGCCTGTCCTGCGTGGCTTTCTTAGTCCTTCTCCTTTTGCTGTCTGTCCCTGTACCAGCCTCTCCCTCTTCTCTGCCAGCATTGGGCAGCCTGCGGGCATGGAGAGCCGCTGCCCTGGTGCTGCCGGGGAGGAGGAGGCCCGGCAGGGGAGCGGCGGCCCTGCCAGGAGGCTGCAAACCGTCCCTGTGGTGGCCATTGCCTCCCCTCTCCACGCCCAGCACCGCCTTCCTCAGCAGCACTCCTGCCTTCCTCAGCAGCAGAAAATGAACTGGGTTGGCGGCAGCCGGTGAGTGAAACTCTTCAAATGTTGCCAGAAATGGCTCTATGCTGAGCCAGTGCCCCTTCACAGATGGGCACGGCCATGGTGGGGTTGACAAACCCAGTGTCTCTTCACAGGCCAGTGGCACCATGGTGTGTGTAGCAGCCCTGGTGTCCCCTCACGACATGGCAAGGCCACGGGGTGTGTGACAGCCCCGGCGTCCCCTCCTGAACCAGGCTGTGAGGAGGTGCAGGTGCCCTCCCACGCCAGGCAGGGTGGGTCACGTTTGGGCCTGATGTCTCTCTGCAGACTGGGGCTGGGTGAGGCTTTCTAGCCTGGGCCTTTCCTCATGCCCTCACAAATGGCGGTGATTACCATTTGGGGAAAAAGATGTATAGTTATTGAGACTCACTGAAATAGTAAAATAATCACCAGTGGAGTTGTAACATTTAAAAAAAAAAAAAAAAAGATAATATTCTGTTTCTTTAGGTGCTGTGCCATCTGCCTATCTACTAGAAATTTAAACCCCACAGATTTTGTCAGCCATTTGAAAGTAACTTTGCCAAACACAGCTTTATAATCATCCTGACTCTATGCAGAATCACACTAGAAGAATGCCTTACCCATCTGGAAGTCTTCCCAGCAAAATGAGGTTTCCAAAAGTTGCCCATGTGAAGCAGGGGGAAGGGAGGACTTCAGCTGGAAAAAAAAAGAAAGAAACAACCCCAACTTTGTCCTAAATGTCTGCCTATCCTACTCTTCTCTCTGTAAGAAAAAGCAGTGTGTAGGAATATTGCACTCACTTAGCAAATAGCAAATCATCCTGCTGCTTTCTGCTGCTGTTCATTATCTGTCAGGGGTTCTTGGGTGAGTCTGGGATCTGGATTTAAGTGTCAGAAAAACTATCCATTACTGGGGTTTCTGCCCCCTGCACGGGCCAATGTTATGTGTATATGTTTAGGAAGAGTGTTCTAACTTTAAGCACAATTTTAAAAAAGGGTAATTCCAAGGGGATACTCCACATTTCTAAATCTCAAAAAAAAAAGTCCTGATGTTACTGACCCAAGGATTGCAACCATGCTCATCGTGCCCACAGCAGTGACCTAGAGCTCTGATTTTATGCACCATGTCCTGTAGGCAATTCATTTAAGACTAAGTTTAACAAGTGAGATAAGTAGTTTAAGGTATAACTGTCTCCTATATCGCACAAAAAACAGCAGCTCATTAAAACTTGTAGCGACAATCTATTTTTCTTATCTTATTTACAAAATCTTCACAGTATTTTGTAAAGTCACGAAAGGTAGAAGCTTGTACTGTGCTCCTTTGCTTTCTTTGCTAAAATAGTTTTGTAACTATGTTGCAGTGTGACAAAGAAAATTAGGAGAAATTAATATACTGACCAAGATTTCTTATAATGTTTTAAGAAATTAAGAATTGATGAAATGTTGCATTACAGGTCAAATATCTAAAAGCTTTTCCTTCTGAATGTTCAATGTATTTGGTAGCCCTAAGATTGAATGTGGTCCTATCCTTACCTGAGTAAACCAAGATTAGTCAAAGTGACTTCAACAGAGATACATTGACTTTACTACCTGAAGGTTTGATCCATCGTAACGTAACATAACATAGTGTAACATAACACAACACAATGTATTTGTGTCCTAAATTCTCAGCACCATTGATGAGAAATTTAAGCCATGACTCAAGATTATACCTTTACAATTAAACCAATAACTGTTTGCACCTTTCAGGAGCAGAATCATATTAAAGCAGGAAAGGAGAAAGCAAAAGGTAAGCAGTTCTAGCCATTTCAAAGCGTTTGGAGTGAGTCTCAAAACTGTGGCGTAACACTTGTAATATGTTTGCCTGACTGCATGTATCTTTTAGGGCAGAAGTCTTGTTCTAGGTTTACCACACTGAATTCCAGCAGGGAGAGAGTAGGAGAAGGCATGAATGAATGAATGAATGTGCCCAATTTAAGTTTTACTGAATTACTTCTGTTACTATATTTCACTGGTATGTGCTGACGCACAGGATTGCTTGAAGCCTCACAGTGACAACCATGGGGTCAGCTAGCCTAACACACATATACACAGCTTTTTTTCTGGGCTACATAAAAGAATGTTTGGCTCATTGAAGTACTTTATTCTGGCATTTGCAAAAACAGGGCAGCTTATTTGTATTTTGAATCTGAAAGTGAAATAATAAAGTCAAATTTATCCCTGGCAAAGTAGAAGACATTTCAAACATGAAAGAGAGAAAACAGGAAGAGAAGATAGCTATAATCATGGAGAAGTCAGTTTCCTCCTCAGCAGCTGGGAAAAAAGCGACAGTATAGGGATCTCCACCACTGAAGCTCCACCCCTCAACACCGGGAGCGGATGCATTGGCATATACAGGAGGAGGAAAAAAAAGCTGACAGTATGGAGACAATCTCTGAAATTAAAACTTTTACCTAAGGGAATGTGGGAGCAACCAGTAGCTTGTTGTCACAATTGTTTTCCCAGTGTCCTGGAGGCCTGTGAGTTCTCAAAATACCTGTTTTCTCAGTGATTGATTGGTCTAAGCCTCATAATTTATGTTACAACTGTATAATTTTCTTCAGTGGATGAGAGAAAACAGGAAAGGATCCAAGACAGGTTTGTTTTTAGTTATTTATTGCTAAATTACTAAATTATTAAACACAGTGGTAATTTTGTAATTGCTGTTATGCAATTAATAGTAATTTAGTAATTTATAGGTGATGGGAAGAAAATACCTGGCACACTGAAGGGACATGGCTACGTTTTGGGGGTGTAGACTCCAAAGCAATATGAATTTTGAAGCGTTGATTTCTACACAGGCTGAATTTACCTTACTGCAGATCTTCTTAAGTGAAGAACCGATATTTTCCATAAATGATAACATCCTAGAAGGCTATGATATAGTAAATTATACTTGAAAATTGTTACCGGCGAACATGTTGGGTGTATTAGTTACGTGTAACCTGCAAGCATGAGAGGAATTACGTTTCAGAAGAAAAGACAATGCTATTTTGAGTTTTGGTATAGCCTTCAGTTTTCAATATCCTTGTGGTTAAAGTAAAGAAATCTTACTGGGTTTTTTTATTCATCTGCTGTCCTTGATGCTAATGATTTTACAATGGTTATTAATAGTCTCCTACAAAATGGAGATTTGTTTCCTAAATTTTCTAGAATTATCTGCCTGATGTATTCAAAGCGTCAGTCATTATCTTTTTATTCCTTGCAACAAAAAGCCTTTCTGAAGTCACAGTCTTAGAGATTTTTCTTCTTTACTTTTTTCTCTTCTTTTTTTTTTTTTTTGTCACAAGACTATTTCTGTGTCAAGAAAGACAAATTTGGAGAACAATGAACTCTTTGTGCCATTATAGATGGCCATGTGTATGTAATCTTGCTGCTTTATTTGACTGCTAGCTTATAAACTGCCAAAATGCCCAAGTTTAAATTTTTTCTAAGACTTTTTTCTTGTAGAATTTGGGTATGTCTTTTGTTTTAAATTAATAAATTTAATGATCATACACAAAGTTTGAGGCATGAGTGTTTAAGGACTAAGTTTTTGGCATCAAGAGAAGAGTGGTTTATTTTGAATATGAACAAATTGCAGGTTTTTTCATGGCAATAAAAATTAACAGGGCGTGAGAATTCAGAGAGATTTAATCATGTGCTTTTATTATTAGGAATTGTCTACTAAGTCTTGCATGCTAATTAAAAAATATATATATGCTGCTAACGTGTTGTTCAAGTTTCTGTCAAAAACTTATTCTGCCTTTTAAAAAATGTAGGAATTCTTTGAAAAGAAGAAACTTAAATCAAAGATGAAGCTTCTGGGAGTATCATCTCCTAAAACTTCAGCAGTCAGTTTAGATCTCCTCAATCTATATGTTGTTAACCAGATATCAACCAAAAAAGACAACAGAGGTGAGTTTAGTGTAACAGTGTTCTGACTTCACAGTTAACAGAATCAGTTATCCTTAACTATTACTGCTATTGGTTTAGTTCTTATTCTTCCACTTATAACTTAATGCTCAAATAAGTGTTGTTTTATTTTTAAAATAAAGAATTGTAAGTAAATACAAAAATTATGATTGAATAAAAAGTCAGGACATAAGATAAATCAAATAACCTTGACTACTGCCTAGTTCACCTTTAAAGCCTTGTACGCTTTATGCATCTTCCTCATTCCATTCATTAGTTTTACTCTACATTTCTTTCTTTTTCCCTTTGCCATTTAATGGGTCCATTTGTATTCCACTTCCTTTTTCGTAACTTTTTAGGGGCTTTTGGAATAGGCTAGTTCTACACAGAGTGTCTTTCTTAAAAATCCATCATTAAGCTCCTAAAAAAAATCTCTACAACTTGAGTGTAGAAATGGTGCTTAGAGACATGGCTTAGTGGTGGACTTGACAGTGTTAGATTTATGGTTGGACTCGATGACCTTAAAGGTCTTTTCCAACCTAAATGATTCTTATCCTCTGTGACATATTCGTAAACCAGATTGTGGAAATTTGTTGTTCTGTGCTCAGGCAGATTAGAAAGTGACTGAGGAGGGTGACAGAGCCTGTCTATACACAGCAGCTGACCATAAATAATTTTATAATATAATACCTTTTAGAATAAAGCTCTTGCATTGCTAGTAACAAGGAGAGCAAAAAAAATATGGCTTTAAATGGATTAAGAAACCTAAACCAACAGCTTCTTTTACTCTAATGAAAACTCAGGAAGAGTAGAACTTTCCCCAAGCCCAGCACTGACATTACAAATACTTTTTGTTGCAGAGAACATGAGGAAGCCAGTCCACATTGATATCACTGAAGATGTAAAAATACCTGTTAGGAGGCACAACATAGAGCTTCCTGTGTCACCACTGCGTACACAATATACATCAAACTTAGATGACATCCAGAACAGGTACGTGTATAAAATAGGCAGTAGTTAAGCTATAATGAAGTTCTGGAAAAGGTATTTCATGATGGTCTTATATTTGGAGTATTAAGTAAACACAAATATACCATTCTAAGATGAAGAAGTTTCACAATCCCTCCTGGCATTCCAGTGATACTCTTACTATGAGGGGGTAAACAAATGTATTCTAAATAAAAAACTGTACATGAAGCTGAGGGATTTAAAGAAAAATAATGTTTCTTTACTCATGTCAGGTACGTACATTAAGTTTATCTCATAGGGCAGGCTATTCAAACAGCATTTTCCACTTACAGTGTTTCCCCATCCAACTTCAGTCACCCTGAAGTGACTGACTCACACACTGGCTGCTCATAACTGCTTAAGAATCAGGTCTTTTTAAGCCGTGTGGAAGAATATTCTTAAATTATTTTGAAATTAATACTCAGAATGTATTTAATCTTACAGATCTTATATCTTGTATTACATAGGCTGTTTTTATTCTTTTTACAAGGTTACAAAAGCAAGTATTGGATAGCAGAAGGCAGCATCTCTTAGAGAAAGTAAAATACCAGCATAACGTAAGCTAAGTTTATTGTTCTCACTGATGTAAAGCTAAAAATGTGCAGCAACGACTGTATTTTTAAGTGGTTTTTCAAAGAATGACCCAATCTCATGGATACTGAAACACATGAAGTCTTCCTTTTTAAGGCTATATTGATGTTATTTGCCAGTCATATTTTATATTTGTTCCTGCTATTACATATTTCTTCAAATGCTCACCTTGTTTTAGGCATTTTCCAAAATACTAAAGAATATCTGTGCTGTAAGCTAGTAGCAAAGGACAGAGATTATGGGAATGAGATTGAGGCCAAAAGTGGGTAAATTAAAAACAATACGCAGAAATGTGAAATGATGAAATGTGAGCAGCATAGCCAGAAGTGAGTCTTTCAGGGGAAATTAAGTACAAGTCTCAGTTAATACAACTGGGAAGTTCATACACTCCTTGAGGTTATAGTGAAAAACATTCTCTAGAGGGAATTTAAGCCTTTTTTTTATGACCCATTACACCGGGGCATAAAAAAACCCCAACTAAACCAAAAAAAAAATACCAAGTTAGTCAATGTGTTAGAAGACACATAGTTTAGATTAGTCAGACTTGCTTGATAATGCAGCTGCACTGACTCCTGCAGTTCATAGCAGGTAGGACTCTAAGGAAAAGCTGCTTGCCAAAGATGCTTTGTATTGTTCTGTATGTCCTTGTCCTGTTCATGGTGCCAAAGCATGTTTTCCCAGAGTGAGAAAGACAGATGTTTTTCTGGTGTCAGAAGTTCTTTTCTTTTGAGTCAGAATTACTTATTATGGGTGAAAAGTTTAGCTGTCTAATGTGTTTTGGCCAAGATCACCATGAGCTGCCACTAGTTTTTTAGATATCATATTAAGCCAGCCTTTCCTTATGACTCTCTTTCATCTGTTTCTTGAAGACAGAGAGGACTTATTTCAGCCCAGAAATAACGGATCAAAATGATAGCTAAGTTTCTTCTCAACCTCCACTTGTAAGGCCAGATTTACATCAGTTCATCAAAACATACGATAATGCAGTGTGCACGCACAGAAAGCTACTTTAATGTATAGATCCAGAAATAAAGTCTGAGACTTGTACGTTGCAAAGAACTGTTTTTAAAATCTTCATAAGTTGAAGTACATCCAATTTAAGTAATTTAGATATATCCACTTTATTAAGGAGAAAGAGGGGCTATAACATTGGTAATTTTCAGCTTTCTGGAAACTTACAGTTTTGTGGTACAAAGATTTTGCACAATTAATGCACAAGGCTTTTGCACTCCATTAGTAGTCTGTTCTGCTTTCACTGGATAAACTGGATTACAGGCGTTACTTCAATGTAGCCGTGGATACAGTGACTTTTCATGAGTTTTGCCTTCAAATTTGTGTTCTGATCTACTTGAGGTAGCATTACAACATGCTGGAGTTCTCTCCTCAATGGAGCAAAATATTTTTCATTTTGCTGCTTAAGAAGCAAGTCAGCAGATCATTTACCTATGCATCTAAAGCTGAAAATGTATTTATACCCATCTCTCCTCAGGAAAACTTATGTGTGCATGCTTCAACTTTGGGTACTTACATGTTTCCCTGAAATAAGCCCTTATTACCTGACATTTTTCATAAAAAAATCGTATCAGAATACATGAAAATTTTCTCTTGCATGTGATATATGTGCAGAGATGTAAGATGTGTAGAAAGGTTTGATTACTTTGAACTTCATGCTTACGTCAAAACAGTTTTAGATAAATAAAATGTCTCTTTGCTATGTTTTGTCTAGTTACCACAAGTAACAGAATTAACGTATGCTGACTCTAGTATGGAACATGAAGACAACATAGCGAGAACTTTAAGTGCTTGTCCATTATCCTCTTCTGGTTTTTGGTCCTCTAACTGTACACAACTTTCAGAAGAAAATTTCAACACAAACCTAATGGGCAGCACTTGGGAACAGACCTATGAAGAGAAGCTGCAAAACCAGGTTTTATTAATATTCTGTTGTTTCTGCAGAATTATTTTAAACTACCTTTCATTTATTTGAGGTGTAGAATTAGTGTAATGGTGCAGACCATTATGAGTGATTAACGTTTCTTGTAGGCTGGTGGCAATGAATATTCCATATGTACAAACATATTTCTTTCATTGTTATGAAATAGGCTTACCTTGAGCTTTTGTTCACTGAGGTCTCAGTACTGCTGATATCTGCAGTAAGAGAGTTATCACATACTGCTGGCTTCCTTTTGTTTCTGGATTGTAAAGTTGGTTAAAGAAAGCTGAAATGTGTTACGGTTATAAATACAGTTTTCTTAAATGTACAATTAGTATAACTGGGTATTGTATGATCCCAGATCATCACCGTGACCTAATTTGCAATCATGCGGTGTCTCAGTGGGTAACATAGTTCTTACAGTATTCTCAGTGCTCCTAAAAGGATTGAGAAAAGCCTGCTGTTTAACTCAAGTTAAGTTTAAAAAATGGTTGAAAGTTGTTTGTTCTGATGTATGTTACTATTTTTTTTCTTTTTGTTATCATTGCGTTTCTTGAAAGAATCATCCTTAGAAAGGTAATAGCAAATATAATATGCTTTATTTTTAGAAAATACATTATTCCATGAAAATAATAAAACAAATTCTATGTGTATCACCAGTGGTGTTTCAAAGTCCTGAGGCAAGTGGCGAAAAAGTGCTTCAGGACTTCAGAAGGGGAGAGGTTGGGTTGTTCAGGGAATGAGTAGGCAGAAACCCACAGGAAGCTGACCTGAAAGACAAAGGAGCCCAGGAAAGATGTTTTCAAAACACAAGGACAGTCCACCTCAGTGTGCAAGAGAATGAGTAGTCCTGGAGGTCAGTTTGGCTGAATCGAGGAGCTCCTGACTGAGCTCAAATGCAAAAAAGAAGCGGAGAAGGAGGGATGGCAACGCAGGAAGAATACAGAAGCATCCCCTGAGCTTGGAGGGTTGGCATTAGGATGGTCAGAGCTGAAACTTGCAAGGGGTGAGAAGGGCAGCAAGGAGGACTTCTATAGGTATGTCATCAGCAAAAGGAAACCAAGGAAAATGCTGTCCAGTGCTAAATAGGGTTGAGACCTAGTGACAAAGGGCGTGGAAAAGTCTGAGGCACTCGACCTACTTTGCTTCGGGCTTTTCTGACAAGGTCTGCTCTCTGGCACATCTTCAAGCCCAGTAGAGAGTTTGTGGGAGAGAGGTACAAAACAGTGGTGAAGGAACAAGTTAGGGAATCCTTAGTAACTTGGACATAAAGAAATACATAGGACTGGACAGGATGCATCCAAGTATATTGAGGGAGTTGGATGATATCACTGCAGGGCTGATGTCCATCATCTTTGAAGGACTGTGGTGAACAAGAAAGCTTCTCAGTGAGAAGAAATACCCAAATGTTATACCCATCTGCAAAAGCGTAAGCATGATCTGAGGAAGTATCTTCTCACCTCTGTCCCTGAAAGGATTATGGAGCCAGACTTCCTGGAGACAATTCCATGAAGAACGAGAAGGTGACTGGGAACAGCCATCATAGATTTACCAAGGCCATACTGTGCCTGATAAACCTGATTGCCTTCTGTGGTGACTTGAATGAGCTAGTAATTAACTCTATGAATAAGGGAGAGCAGCAGATACTATTTACCTTGACTTTAGGAAGGCTTTTGACAAGGTTTCCCGTGGGATCCTAGTAGCTAAAGTGAGGAGGTATGAACCAGATGAATGGACAATAAGATGGGTAAAAAAGCTGGCTGCTACCATCATGCTCTGAGTAGTTGCCTGTTGGCTCAAGTCTAACTGGCAACAGGTCAGTAATGGCAGGGATCCCCAGAGATTAGTACCAAGTCCAATACATCTTCATTAGGGAGCTGAACAACAGGACAGACTGCACCCTCAGCACCTCGGCAGGTTCATGCACGACACCAAATTGGCAGTGTGGTCGTTACAGTAGCAAGGCTGCTACTCAGAGGGATCTCGACAAGCAGAAGGCTGCCAGGAACTTCATAAACACAGAGAAATACAAAGCCCTGCACCTCGAGAGAAATAACCCCACACGTCAGTGAAGGTGGGGACTGATTGAGTAGGCAGCAGTTTTGCAGAGAAGGACCTGAGGGTGCTGGTGAACAAGTTGTGCACGAGTCAGCAGTGTGCCCTTGTAGCGGTGAAGGTCAACTACATCAAGGGCTGTATTAGAAAGAGCAGACCCAGCAGTCAAAAGCAAGTGATTATTTCCCTCTGAGCAGCACATGTGAGAACACATCTGAAATACCGTGTCCAGTTTTGGGAACCCCAATACAAGAGAGAGGTCAACAAACTGTAGCAAGACCAATGAAGGGCCACAAAAATTGTTAATGGATTGGAGCACATGATGATTGTGGAGAGACTGAGCAAAAAGGGCTTTCGCAACCTGGGAAAGAGAAGGCTATGTGAGTGTGGGGAGAGTGAACTGACTGCTGTCTTCCACAGTCTAAGCGGAGTTACAGACAGGACAGAGCCAGAGGTACACAGTGAAATGGCAATAAGTAAAAAGTCACAAGTTTCAACAATGGAAATTCTGTTTGTACAGGAAAAAAATATTGTCACAGGAGTAGCTAAGCACCAGAAGAGGCCATGCAAACAGGTTGTGGAACCTCAATCCTGAACAATCCAGCCTAACCTTGAAGCTGGCCCTGCTTTGAACAGGTTGGACTAGATACCTCTTGAGGTCCCTTCCAGACAACAGCTTTCTATGATTATGTGATCTTCAGCAGAACTTCAGCTTGTTCCAGTCTATCAAGCTTGTTCATGCCATGGGGGATGGGGTGCTAAAAGGACATTTTGCGTTATTAGCAGTGATACACAAATATGGAAAAGTATGAGTTATATAGAACTCGGGCTGTAAGGACGTTTGGTCTTCTACTGTAAAGATAAAAAGAAGTAAAAATAGTGGGAAAACACGTATATTGTTTGCAAACCCAACGTTATGCTTTTAAACACTATAATTATTACATATATTCAAAGTTTGTCAGCTTCTACTGTTTTCTCAGCCAGGAAATAGTTCTGATCAAGACCATTGGATTACAAAACCTCCAAGCCAGTGTATTTTCAGGAAGCCTGATACAGTGCCTCAGGAACTGTTTAAGCCATTGCATAGGTAGGCAGTGATTTTACATTAAAGTGAGAAATAACAGTCAAGTTCAAGTAAGAAAAATACTAAGATAATCTGAAGCTTATTATTACTTGATTTTTCTCTGATTTTTGGTGCTTTTCAACCAGAAATTGAAGTTAAATGGAAAGACTGAACATACCAAGCTATTTAAGTTTGCTGAAAGGCAGAAAAATGGGAATTTTAGATAGGCCCTTGGAACCATGATCTTATTTTTTTGCAATGTCACAAACACGATGGTGTTACTGAATTCACGCCGCGTAAGAAGCACAGCTGTACTAAGAGGCCACAGGGAGGGTGGCTGCACCAGCTCTTATTAGTTCCGGTCACTGGTGCAAGTGCTTTTCTGACGACCTTGATGCTGTTGCAATCGAGCAACTTATCCACCTACATTGTTTACATTTGGGATTCCAGGAAAAAGCGTTTACTTTCCTTCTCTTTCATATATGATCCTACTATAGCCTACTTTTTTTAGAATTGGTTCAGTAATACTTTTATGAGAATATACACTTTCTTTTTGAAAGAATGGATAGAATTCTAGAATATATTTATTTTAGTATGTGCTGATTAAAAATCTGTTTAATCATAGAGGGTTTAGAGCCAAACTCATTTATACTGAACATTTCATTTCAGTTTCTTCCCAGGAGCTCTTGCCTTGGATCTAGGGGTCTTACAGAGCTAATCTTTCTTTACTCTTTTTATTCTATAAGTCTGCTGTCTGGCTGAAAGTTCTGTCAGTCTCTAGCTTTGCCTGGATAGAGCCATAAAAAGGCCATATATTATTTTGCTGTTCCTGAAGCACCTAGAGCCTGTTTGCCTGGGGAGTCAAGTGACTGATAAGTTCACTGACCACATGATAACTAGGTGAACACATCAGCTTCCAGTCTTAGTCACCTTAGCTTTCTCTTTCTCTCCTAGCTTCTCCCGGCTTCCTCCAGCAAAACCTAAAATAAGGATGACATTCACCTTGCTGTATATCTTGGTGAATTCCCAATGAATATCTTTACAGGAGAGCCTCACATGACCTTATCTCGCCTGCATCTCCCCTGTCATTTCTCCACCGGCCTTCAGGCCTACACTCATCTGCTTATGGCACCTCCCTTAGTCCCCTGCCCGTTCATCGCTCACTAACAACATCTCCTTTCTACACCTGTTCTTCAAATCCATTTCTTTGTATCGCCCTTGTTTTGTTTTCATCCACTGTAGCCATAAATTCTTATACCTCAAGAGCTGGCAGTTCTCCTGGGAAGGGACTTTATTTTGCTGTATGTGAAAAGTAGATTATAAACATACAGTTGTTTAATGTAACATACTGATGATATAATCAATGTGTACACATCTGAGAGCTGTGGTAGCTCAATATCATTAAATATTAACTAAAAATTTTAGATATCTTATTTCCTCATCTAGTATTAAGTTTTACTTAGCATTACAAAATGTTCAGCTGGCGTGAAGAAGGAGCCTCTGAATTGCTTCATGAAATGGTTTTACCTTCCTCATGTAGATCTGTCCAAGTTTCTCCAGAAACAAACTCTAGTGTGTTTGGCCTTTTAAAATTATACTGGGGAGGTTTCTGTAAGTAGAGGACACTACTTTCTCATTTAAATTGTCGAGGATCTTTATCCAGTTCCAAGTATTTGCCAATTAAAACATTACAGAATTTTTCTCCGGTAAGTTTTCAGCACTACATTTTGGTTTTCAAGTTCCACTGATCGCATCACTCAAATTTTTTTAAAGAAAAGGCATTTTTTGAATGACCACCTCTGCCAATTCTCTGTGCTTCAGAAGCCTCTCAAGTTTTTGCTCAGATTTTCTCACAGTTCAGTCAGCAGATCAAGCCTAGAAAAAAGCAGTAAGAATGTTAGATTAAGAGCCAAGTAAGTGAAAGCACGATAGCTTTCACGCTAATGATGGAAGCATGAAAAAACCGCTTCAAAACCACTACTATCAGAAGTGGGGTAGGGAAGTGTGGGCAAAACTAAATGTCTGACTGGCCTCCTGGCAGTGGTCTAGAAAAATTCTGTGCTGAATTAGGATTACTGACCTCAAGTACCAAGGGCAGTCACTTGCTAAAGAGACTTGGAATCAAGCAGTACACAGCGCGCATTGTGGGCTTTCAGTACTAGAGAGAACTGTAGTCTTGGAGAACAAACTATTTTTATGAACAGAAGAAGCTGTCTTCCTCTTTTTATTTTTTTTTTTTCCTTTTTTTTTTTTTCTCCACCAAAGTGGCCTTCTTTGGTCAGCTGGTGGAGCAGCAGTGACATACTGTGGCTGATTTTATAAATCACAGTTGCCTACTCAGGAGGATGCGCTCCATGTCTTGGTATGTTTGGAGATGTCATAAAACCGAATCCAATTTAAATCAACCTTAGTATAAAGTGGAAATAAAATACAGGACAGTTTTTCAGTTGAAATAATGTACATTTGGGACAAAAGCAAGTATGATGAGTCTTTGAGATTTTTATCACCGAGTTATCGTAATTGTCTTAGCAGTTAGTATTTTGCTCATTTATGTACAGAGCAAACTGCTTTTTTCCATTTCTACCCCACCTCCAGGCTAGACTATATGAATCCTGCCAGGAAAAGCTCAGTGATAATGACCAGTAATGAATCAGAAAACAGCGATGGAAGAAAAGAACTATTGTTTGATGTTGTGAAAGAAACTGCAGAACTGAAAGCTCCCCAAGATGGAAGTGGCCAGTCCTTTCTGGCACTGTTTGAAGATGAGAGCCAACCAATCCGTACTAGTTCTTCCACAAAGCATTTTAATCCTTTTGCTAACCAAAGCAGTGCTGCCATTTTTTTCGTTGATCCTGATGATAGAAATCAAACGACCGACAGAAATTACCTATATGATACTGGACAGGCTTACCCTGCGATCAATGCAAAAAAAAGTTCTGTAGACAGACACCTTGAAAGCATTCTCACAGCTCCAGAACAGGTTTTACTTGAAAGTAACAATGCCTCAAGCTACAGGAAAACCAGTGGATTTCATAAAACTCACATGCAGGACTGTCATGAGGCACAGCGCTATTTCATGCCCTCTGAAAAGAAAGAAAAACCTGCAAACCTTGAAAAAGTTGGTGCGTGTCAATATTTTAAGGCCATATATGCTGATTTTTATTCTCCTTTAAAGCCGTATGTTTTTATAACCAAAGATGTGTCTGCCCTGAATGAAAACGTCATGAATCTTCAGAATGCAGTAATTTAATTTTAAATCCAAGTATTAAAATTATTTTTTAAAGTTGGCAGACGCATTTATTTCCAAATTGCATTTATGCTATTGCATGTTAAAATCCAGGTGTACTTTTTTATTTTAGAGGCATTTGCTTATCACCATGATCAGAAGATTAGCTTAAAGGAGAATGTGCAGATTTATTCAAGAAAAAAAAGGTGAGTGCCATAGAAATCATGACTCGATTAACTAGTGACAACTGCAGAGACCTTGCTGAATTGGAGGAATCCTGCTAACTGGACATGAAGGCAAAATTCTAAACAGTATTACTGAGGACCCAAGTTTTCCTAGTGCAAAAAGTAGGGAATAATGAGAATAAATGTATGCACAGGTAAACCCTTTATACTGTTGTTCATCTGCCTATAGTAAGTTCAGAGAAAGACTGCTTCATGAGACAATTTTGAGTCCCTGAAGTTAAGGTGTTGCTCTGACCTGCCCTCTAAAGGACCCTGTCTCCTTCCACTGATGACAGAGGAAGTCAGTGTCTTCCCTGGGCTAAAGTTAGCGTATGTGAGTGCCCCATGTTTCACAAAAGATGGTTTTATCAAAGACTCTGATCCATAACACCTTCTGTTTTACAAAGCAGCACCATCTTCTGTCATCACTCATGTTACATTTTGCATTTCAACAGAAGTGAAGTTTGTGAAAAGCAGATTCTGGGTGTTAAATCTCAGGCTCAGAAGTAAGTTCAATGATCTCAAAAGTGGGAAGACTTTCATGGTTACTGAAGACAAAATAAAAATTGGAGACAAAAAAAGTCACCAGTCATGACCTTAATTCAGAAAGAAAATAAAAGTACAGGAGGGAAAATCACTTACCAGAGAACTCTGTGTTTGCATCCCTCAGTGATGATGAGTCTATGAAAGAATCAGCGTGGAGACAGAACCAGCTCTTTGGATTTGAAGAGGTAACACTTTGAACAGACATATTTTTTTTGTCGAATCTACTGTTTTGCCATCCATTT